TCACATTTATGAAGTCACCCATTAGTTTGGATGAGCTAGTTGAAGGTTATGGCCTTCCAACAGAGCCTGGAATTCAAAGTCCGAGCAGAGGTGCCATCAGTGATGAAACTCCTACAGTGGCTAGAACCGGGAACTCAAAAGTACCGTATTTTTTGCACCATAAGACACACTTTTTTCCCACAAAAACCTGGAACTTAAAAGTATTTGCACGACTATTCTGTTTGCTGAGTCTTCAACTAACAAGGCTTTGCAGTTTGTGAAACGGGGGTGGAAAGTCTGTGCGTCTTATGGAGTGAAGAAAACAGATTATATTTTCCTGTTTTCTTCTCCTAAAAAATTGGTGCGTCTTATGGAAAGGTGCGTCTTATGGAGCGAAAAATACGGGTATTTGCACTGCTATTCTGTTTGCTGAATCTTCAACTAACAAGGCTTTGCAGTTTGTGGAATGTCTTTTGTTCAAGGGTAGAAACACCAAGCAAGATCCTCCAGACTTGGAAGAACTATTAAGACAAGTCAAAATTAAAAATTTTCCATTGTCCCTACTGATTTGCAATGCTTAACACCCATCATTTGACTCAGACAATCACAAATCTCCTTAAACCCATGGCTTCCTAAGGCAGCATTTGCTTGTGAACGAAATGGTCCAAGGCTGCACAATATGACTCTCATACTATTCTGTGCATGCATTTTCTCATCTGATTTCTAAAGATATGCAAGGGCTTGGATGGGAGACCACCAGGGAATATGAGGGAGCTCCATATAGGGCTGGGAAAGACCCCTGCCCGAACCCCATAAGATGAACTGAGACAGCTTTCTGTAATGGTCAAAGGGAACCAAAGACCTGACTCCTGTTAAGGCTGCTTCTTATGTGTCTGTGCTGCTGAGTTGTATATGTGATAACAAGAAGAAGAAGAAGATGAAATTGTGTAGTGAGAATCTTCAATGCTTTATAGTGAGGTGCATTGGGGGATGAAGCAAAAGGTTAGGGTTGAATTTTCAGGGAGGGTTTGGAATGGAGTGAAGAAGGGGATTAACTTTTTACTGCCCCCTTTTTTTATTATTACGGCCAGTTGCCATTTCACCCCAGAATGAGGGCTGTTTCATTATTTGGCCTTGCGCCTGGGGATATGTGGTGGAGGGTCGTAGAGGGCCTCCAGCTGTGGCTGCTTAGAGGACCTTTGCTAGTATAGGTAAGCCTTCCTAAAATCTCCATGATCCATTCCAACTCTTTTCACCTGCAGGTTCCAAGCCAGAGTGGTTTCTGTCTAAGCTGTGGTTGCTTCCCATAAACTGCTTGTTATTCAGCATAAGTAGCAAGAAGAAAACAAAACTAAAACCCAAAATAAGAGCATTGTGGCACTTTAAAGGCTAAACCATTTATTTCTGTATGAATTTTCATGGAGTACAAATCACATGCATTTTCAGCTACTGTGCTTATCCTGGGGGATTAAAAGTGCTAAAGAACTGGGGTGGATAACCAAGGACACCTTGTCACTGTCCTTAATATGAAACAGTAGGTCAAATTCAGTGTTCAAGTGCCTTGACCTCTTTCCTAACATGAGCCACCATCCTACCTCTCTCCCATCCTTGATGCCAGTAAACTTGCTTTGGGTTTCCAATGTCATCATAGAGTATAAAACACCCTGAGTGAAAACGTGGTGACCTAAAGTGATTTCTGTATCACAGGTTATGATGTTATGAGAACACTGATAATTTCTGCACTCCCGTCAGAAAAAGCAGTCAAGCAAAATTTCCTTTGAAATCAGCAGCACTGAAACAGTACAGACAGTATGTCATCAGAAGCTGGAACTATGACAGTGTTCCAAAGACATGCCAGAGCAATTCTACTTACAAATGAGGCCTGTGTTTACCTTCTAATGACCAATCACAAACTCACACAAGTTAATTTGAAGACTGTGGGAGGCCTGTAAAGCTTATGCTAGGACAACCAGATGGCTTTCCACACTTAAGGAATTTCTTCATTCTAAGGTTGTTTGACCCGTGGTAATAGTTGCAACCCTTTTGTTCAATTGATGAGTCTTATGAAATTTTAAGTTTAAATTTCTCTGTATCCAGATCTTCAACCATTTTTTCCAGCATCACTTTTGTCAAAGCCTTGGTGTTAGGTGCCAAAACTATGTCACAATTTCCTGTGACTTTGTCTTTAAAAATGGATAACGTGATTTCTTTTCCTTTTTTGCCACCTATTCAGTATTTTGAAGCTTTTGCAATTAAATTGTTTAGAAGCTAGAGCCTTTTTAAAAATGTATATCTTTTTTTCCTGACTAGGATATAAATTATATCAGATTGATTTCTAGATCTCAGACGTAAGTTTGTCCTTGACGGTGGTTAAGCTTTGTATTATTCTTTTTCTTTAAATGACTAACCCGGACTAAGAGGTTGGAGCAAGAGGTATTTTGCAAAATTAAACCTGTTTCACCTGAACATGTTTTAACTAGTTAATAAGAAACATCAAAAAAGGCAAAAGACAAAACCCTGAGGTCAATGAGCGTTCTTTTTGTAAAGCTAGTGTTTGATGTTTAAATTTGGTTTTTTTTTCGGGGGGTCTGTCTATAACATAAAGTTTTAATAACTTAGCTCAAGTGCAGATTTCTAATTTTCAATTAACGTAGGAATAATTTTGTTTGCTAAAATAAAATAAATGAATGAATGACAAGTCTGAGCCATGAAATGTTCGAGGTAGCGCTTTTTAAAAAAATCCAAATTTTTCAAAAAAACCACAAAAAATAATACTCATGTGGCAACTGTATAGCTCGAGCTTTAAGTATTAACTTTTAACCTTTGACCTTACAGATTTTAACCAATGAAATGTCTCTTTAAACTTTAAAGGAAACAATGATAACGAGCGCCTGGCGATTGCTAGACAGCGAATTCCATATCGGCTTGGTCGAGTAGTTGATGAATGGCTACTCGACAAAGGTAAAAACATTGATTAAAACTTCAAATAAAAAAAATAATTTGAACATAACCGAGTAGTGCTTCATTGTAACACCAATAAACATAAAACAATAAATTTTTTCAGTAAAACTAAATTAAAAACAAATTTTAAACAGTAAAATGTAGAGTAAATATTTGCATACCGTGTATATATAATAATTTCTATACATATTTAGTGGGACCACCTGTTTAATAATCTTACCCTGTTAACTTAAGGTTAAAGGGACTGTTAAATATAATCCACTAACTCAATCTATGAAGGTACTCATAGCAAACATTAACCAAAACTGATAAATCGTTCATAGATTATGTTACATGGTCCATCATCTAAATTCTTAACTAAATATCTTTCTATCTGTCTATCTAGCGATGAGATCTTCATTATGGTCATGAAAAGAAACGAACAAAATCATTGTTTAAACTGTAGGATATCTTAAATAGTGGGCAATATGATTGCCAAACAAGATGAAGTCCCTTTAACGTTTGCTACCTTCTAAGGGGATTTTGGAACAACCACTACTTAAAAGAGAGCTTAAAGTTGTGTGCATGCTTTGATTATGAGCAGAAACCAGTCTGCAAAAGAGATTATAATGTTTATTAATACTACTAATAATAATGGGTTTGCACTGGTGAGGATTTCTGTATTTAAGAGCAATGTGACATGACTCTTCATTGATGTGTGTATCATTCCTTGAAATTGCTTTTACATCCAAAACAGTTTCATTTTGTTGCTTTTTTTTTCTTTCACTTGGTAGGCTTGCTGAAAGACAGACATCTCTCTCACACTCTTTTATTTTTCTGACATTTTTGTTTGTTTCTGAAATGCTCAGTATACAGTATGTATCTCATGCCTCCTCTTTGTATGTGTGTGGTATGTATGTGTGCACGCATGTTAGCAGAATATCGCACATTTCCTGTGGGGGAAAATAGTGTTAGGAATTTAGAAGGTGATATTCTTGCTAACATGCTTAAGTGGATAGCCCACCTTATAAAATGTGAGCATCAGATAGACAATAAGACTTCATCTGGAACATAAACTCGAGGATGCATGTGATATAACGGCAGAGTCACAAATCATATGGAGCTATACAGACTTTTGAGTCACAGGGGGATGTTTGTGTGAGAAAAATACTACACAGGAAAATTGTGCAATCTTTACAACATGGCACATTTTGTGTGGTAGAACAGATAATCTAAAATCCAATTGACACACTTGCAACAACCATTTAAAATTTGGATCTCTACCCTACTTGAATGGCGGGGGGAGGGGGGGAAGTACAGTGGTGCCTCGCAAGACAAATGCCTTGCAGGACAAAATACTCGCAGGACAAATGGTTTTGGCAATGGTGTTGATGACTCACAAGACAAACGTTCCTATGGCCGTGCTTGACAAGATGAATGTTTTCCATTTTTTTTCTTCCTGCCTCATGTTTGCTGATTTTTAAATGTTTTTCTATGATGTTTAAAAAGGTACAGGTTTTTGACTGAAATTTTTATGAATCATGTGCACAATATGTATGGCTTTAAAGAGCACTTAATAAACCCTTTGTAAACCAAATTTGACTTTGTTCTGACTTTTTTTTTGCCCATAGGAACGCATTAATTACATTTCAATGCATTCCTATGGGAAAACGTGTTTTGCAAGATGAGTTTTTCGCAAGACAACATTAACCATGGAACGAATTAAATTTGTCTTGTCAGGCACCACTGTATATAGAATCATAGCAGCCAATGGATTATAACATGGATGTGAACAGATTCTCGCCTGGCCCTGCTAGTAGACCTTTACAAAAAAAATTTTAAATGTTTCCATTTAAGAAATTTCAAACCTAGATCGACAATTCTGCATTCCATGGACACTTCATTCAAAAGCAATGAATTATGAGCAACCTTCCTTTCTTGTAGTTTATTGCTCTCATCCTCCACCTCATAAGAATTTGTTAAAAGTCATCCTCTTTTAAGAGTGTAGTGTTCACAATCAACATTTGTTGCATGTATGTAATACTATCTTTGCAGGCCGCCAGCTCACAATCTTCAATAGCCAAGCGACAATTAAAATTGGAGGCAAAGAGCGTGGCCACCCTTTCCAGGGCCAGCTTTCTGGACTCTACTACAATGGCTTGAAAGTCCTGAACATGGCCGCCGAGAATGATGCCAACATAGTGATAGAAGGGAATGTGAGACTCGTTGGTGAAGTGCCTTCCTCTATGACGACAGAGTCAACGGCCACAGCCATGCAGTCTGAGATGTCCACCTCGGTCATGGAAACCACCACCACTCTGGCAACAAGCACGGCAAGGAGAGGAAAGCCACCTACGAAAGAGCCCATTGGTCAGGTTAGTCAGCCCTTAAAGGCTCTTCTTTGTTGTTCAGCACTCTCTCTCTCTGTTTTAGAAGATGTCCTGCTTTTATGGATAGCAAAACGTTTCTGAAGATGTAAGGTGATCGTTATCACTGGCATTGGCCACAGGGGTCGTATCCTATTTGATAGCACAGTTGATGGGAAAACATGTGTCTGGTCCATGGTGAAACCCAGGCGAATATCTGGAGGTTGATTTCCTTTTCCGCAGTGGTCTGTATACAAAGAGCAGGTAGAAATGGATGGTTCAACTGAGATTCACAAATAACCACGTTTATGGCTCCAGTGGGCTTTGGACCAAATGGGAGAGCACAGCTGTGCTTCAAGAGACATCTGTTGTAAAATTCAACATATGGTTTGTGATTCTTCATTGCATTGTGGATGTAAAAGAGAAATGGACCTGGGATCATTCGAAATTAGGTGTGCATGACTAATTTAGCAAACATTGGGCTACTTAAAAAACGAGCACTACTCAGATTTTGCTGCTTGTTAATGGAAAATATATAAGGTTGTCTGCATGAGAAGCTGCCAGGTCAGACCAGTGGCCCCTATATTCTACAGCTGTCTCCTAGAAGGGAAGCATTTCTTCTTCTTAAACCAGATATTCTACCTTCTATAAATGGGGATGGTTCGTCAAATGTTATATATCCAGGCCAAAGTTTTGCAATGAGTAGAGATGTCTCACATGGATTTCAAAATGAGGCGTAAGAAGGGTGCCAGATTTTAGAAAGAAGAAATCTGAGATACAAATATATCCTGTTTTGAAATAGGAAAATCAACTTTTGATGCTTGAGCCCAATTTAGAGTGGGCTCATTCTACACCATCCCTCCACTCCTTCTCTCCCCCAGCGTTCCTTACTGTCCTGGGTGGGGCAGAGGACAATGCAATGTGGAGAGAACCAGGGCCAGCAAGAACTGAATTTGCGGTCTGAATTGTCCACGAAAACTTTCATGGACACATCTTGGGAGTTAACATTTTCTTTGCTTGTGGGAGAATCCAAGTCTTAAAGGTGAAAACATGGATACAGGCAGCTCTCCCTCACCCGCTCGCCCTCACAGCTTGCAAGAACAAGTTTGAGAATGTTGAGGCTCAGTGGGACCATTGTGGGTTGGGTGCTGACGTGTGGAGGCCTAGTCTACATTTGGGATGACCTTGAACAAGGTATAAGTGGGATCAGCCTGGAACAATTTGTTGAAGCTGGGTCCATATGAGTGGGAACAAAATGTTGCCACCTATGGGGCACTTTTGCTCAGTTTTCCAATCAGCCAGTTATGCCTTCTTCACAATATTCATGTCCATTCCCATGCCCAGTTCTTTTCTCTCTCCTCTTCCATTACAACAGGCCATGTGGCCTCTGAGTATACCAAACATGCCTTGAACTTGGAGGACGGGCCAGGGTCTCTGTGTTCTAAGTGTGGTTCAAGGACCAAGTGGTTCAAGGATCAAGGCACACCATTAAAATTTTACAGAGGCAGCATTCTCTCCCTGACCAGGAAGGACCCATGTTAAAAGTGACGATGGTGATAATAACTGTCACGATGACAATTATAAATGCAAATCCACACAAAGCATGGATTGTCCCAAGGTTTTAATGTTTCCCTTTTGTTTCTCAATGGCTCCTTTTTGCTTCATAGCTTCCAGCGACTCACCGTCTAACTTATCTGTTAGCGTATGTGATACAATAATTGCACCATTGTGACACCATTATCTCTGTATAGCTGCTTGTTAAAGAAGTGATATAAATGGCAGTTCTCAGGGGGGTTGGTGTGAGATCATGCTCTTCTCTGAGAGATTATAATAGAGGTGAGGGGGAAGGGACTTTATGGGCTGTTTTAATTGCCCAGTTCTGAAGGGAACTTGAATCGGAACTTTCACTCTCGGCTCTTGTTCGCTGAATAATAATGTGATGCACAGGCTTTTATCCGAGGAGGGGGGGGCTCTGCAGGAGCCGACTCTCTTTCTATCCTGTTCTGGTCTTCCTGAAATGTCTGTGCCTTGCTTGAAGCTCTGATCAAATTGCTTTGCTAGGATCAAATGAGCATTCAAATGTCAGGGGTTCCTCCCACCCTCTTGGCCCCGTTAATTATCTGTGTAGATGCATACACATATTCTCTCTCTCTCTCTCTCTCTCTCTCTCTCTCTCTCTCTCTCTCTCACACACACACACACACACACACACACACACACACACACACACACACACACACACACACGTGGAATCTGGAACAAAAATGCGATCCTGTTTTTTGTAGGGTTTTTTTTAACAATTAATTAGTTAATTTAATTAAACTCAAAACAAAGTTACAGGTGGTTAAAAATGGCGGTTATAGAATAAAGCGACAATAGTCAACAGATAGCTAAGATAATTATTTATCATCATAGGTATGAAATTCTGCCTGAAAGCTTTAAAAAAAAAGGTGCAGGGTTTTGAAGGTGCCAGCTGGTCGTACACGTTTTCATATATTCTTTTCTGTGGTCCATTTATTCCTGTTTTTATTCAGTAATGTAAGTAATGTGAACGTTCTCTGTTCTCATTCATCTGCCTTGCCTTTCCCTGTAGGCTGGTGGCAGTGATGGTGGTTACAGTATTTTGCAACCTGTAGGGTTGCCTAAGACCTTGTGTGCTTATAGTGCTGTTTGGGCGACATGAGAATCGGTTGTTGGAGAATGAATACTATAGCTAGTAAAAAATAACTGATTTGTGAATAATAAGTCATTATAAAGATTTGATGCATGGCCATTTTAAGTCAGCCCAGTGGGTGCTCCCTGGTTTCTTGTATGTCATTGTTCATGGCTACAACACAGCAAGCAGTTCTGCCTGTTTGATTTTTAGAGGTTACTGGGCTGCCACTGGTGCGATACAGGAGCGAAAAGCTATCAAAGGTATACCTCGTTAGGTTCTTGCCGCAAATTCAGACACACAGAACAGATGAATCTCACGGAGGCTGTGAATTATTCCACCGGTATATTGTGTTAACACTTATTATTATTATTTTAATATATTCCTTTCTACCCGCAAGAGCTGCTGTGCCTTCTAGTGACACTTGGACACTGCAGTGCCCAATCCAGCATGGGCGCTGAGCACTTTCATCGCTGCAATGCCTGATCCAGCCTGGATGCTGGGCCCTTTCATCTCCCGTTGACGTCAGAGGGAGCAGAGGACATTTAGCACCACTCAGGAGGCAGTCACTGCCTTGCGGGAAACCTGCCTTTAAAGATGGTTTCCCCTTTATGTCCTAGATCTGTTCCTCTTCCTCTTCCTGTCTGTTCTTTATTTAAAATACCCTGGCTGCCTCACAGAAACAGAGGGACATCAGACTTTGGAGCTTTATTTTATCCAAAAAGAAGGAAAGCTACCTTCCCTCCTCTTCTCCTCTGGCCCCCAGCTTTCAATTAATTAGTGCAATGAAGAAAACAGGCAATTGAATATTAACGGCTAATGGGAAAAAAAAGTTAATGCCTGTACAAGAAAGTGCAAGTTTAAGGAGAAAATGAGCTGATAAGGAGTAAATGATCTAATCAATTAGAGATTATTTGGTCCATTTGCGGTGCTATTGAATTCAATTAAAGATCACAGTTCCCATTTAGAGAAAGATAATTTAAATCTCTTATGGTTGTTTATATAAAATATTTTTTTTCTTAAAAAATGAGCAGAGCTAGGCTGGGTTTTTCCTAAACTTATTTTTTTTCTACGCTAGGATTGCAAACCTTCAGGCTCATCAAGCTTTGTACATCCCATCCATCATCCATTGAAGGCTTCCAGGTTTATTTGTACTCACCCGATTGGAACCCACACATTTTTCTTGACCCAGATAGGCACAAAAACAAGTAACTCAATGGATGCCACTACCAATGGAGGACCCTATCTCGATATGGGGGCACTCACTACCTTGGTACATGCGCTCGTAATCTCAAGATTAGACCACTGTAATGCGCTCTACGTGGAGCTACCTTTGAAGCTGATGCGGAAACTCCAAGTGGTGCAGAATGCGGCGGCCAAACTCCTTAGTGGAGCGAGAAAATACCAGCATATTTCTCCTATTCTGGCTGCACTGCACTGGCTGCCCATTCAGTTCCGCATTGACTTCAAAGTCTTGACGCTTATGTATAAACGGTTTAAGGCCTTGATACTTGGTGGGACGCCTACTCCCACCAAGCTCTACCCGTGTCACTCAAGCGAGTCAGGAGGTGAGTCTGAGGAGCCTGATGCCGGGGGAGGCCTGGAAGGAAAAAACAAGAAATCGGGCCTTCTCGGCAGTGGCTCCTCGCCTCTGGAACAATCTGCCTCCGGAGATTCGCGCGGCCCCCTCGCTGGGTATTTTTTAAAAAACCAATTAAAAACATGGATGTTCAGGCAGGCCTTCCCTCCAGTTAATATCGGATTCTTTCCTTTTTCTTTTTCTTTTTAATATATTTATTGTTGTATTATGTGTTTGTAAGCTGCCTAGAGTGGTCACAAGACCAGATAGGCGGGAAATTAAATAAATAAATAAATAAATGCCATCATCCTCAGACAGGTGCTTTCGCATGACTAGCTGCGCTCCATTCTTTGATGGGTCATATTTGAACTGACCCATTTGAGCTGTTAGAAGACACACTCTCTGGGGGAGGGCCTCTTTCAAATGGCCCGTGTCTAAGAGTTGCACATGGAAAATCATTAGTCAATACTGATCTAATTAGAAGTGTTACTTCTTTGGACAAGAACTCTCAGGATCATCCAGTTAGCTTGGCAGTTACTCTGGGACTCTGGGAAGTATATCCAGAAAAGTAACTCTTTGAAGTTTGGGGTGCAGTGTGGGATAAGGCAGCTTCTTATGCCCCCTTTCTTGGACTTCATCCCCAAGAATTCCCCAGTTCCCTAAACAAGAATCCTGGTGGCTTAAGGCAAGAAATTAAAGTCCTTCCAGAAGTTGTTCAATGTTGCATTTACAAACGCATTCAAAAGTTGCTGAGAGATTTTACTGGTTTGGGCAAAG